CAGGCGTACTGAATCGGAATTGTAAATGTGCAAACTCAGCAATCTCTGATCTAACAATAAGTAAAGTGAGTAAAAAGCAAGAATGGATCTTTGGTCAAATAAATATCTTGAAGTGGACAAGGCCAACATACATGAACATGACTAACGATCAGGTACAGACCGTGTCATCAAAAAAATAATAACGCCCCCCCCTAGTTCCAATTAACTTTCATAACTTCAATCTGTTCCGAAGCTGAATAGATCATGCAAAAGCTGTTTGTAAGAAAGAGGCACACTGAGTATCTAAAAGCGAATGACCACCGTGTAGAGAGCTCTCATTTTAGGAACCAAAAAATCCACTAATATCGATTAAAAAGCATAATAAAACGATGAAAATAAGTCTATCACCTTACTGAAGTAGCCGCTGATAAGATGCAGATCACATATCAAAGAATTTCCAGCATATCGAACACTTCTACGATTCAGGCAAATTCGCTGACAAAAACCCACCAGCGGGGCGGCGTCTGGTCGCAACTCGTCCGAGCGTTCGCCGCCCACGGGCGGACGTCATCGATGAGTGGCTAGCCGCAGATCGTCTGAATTTCAATACCATTGTGAAAGCAAGATGAATCCTGGAAGTTCACGTACAAACCTGTTGGCTACATGTGTGATCATGTTAGGAAAATGAAAGGAGAAGCTTCCACTGGGCGCATGCATAGTCGGTCGTCCGACAGCAACGATCGTAACTGTCGCACAGCGTTAGATGCGTATCGATCGTCGAATACTCAGGCAAGTCTGACGATCGATACGCATCCAATGCTGTGCGACAGTTACGATCGTTGCTGTCGGACGACCGACTATGCATGCGCCACTAGAGCGCTGAACTTATTGCTCATCAGCAATATCTAGGGCTCTTCTCGCATTGATCTCTTCAAGTCCATCTTCCGTCTTTATGGAATCTTTTTCCGTGACAGGACCTCTAGTGAATAACCGCTAGCCGGTCAACAGGATTGGGATACAGGAGGATAAAATGATAAATGTCGTCTGCCAAGGTGCTCTTCTGTTCAAGCGGACGATGACTTTAGGGCCTTTATTACGGGGCTTTTCCATAAATAGCGGTAGGCGGTCTCGCCGATACCACATAATACGGGGCATTGTGGTGACAGCGCATAGAAAACCGCGTCAAACACACTTTCATTCAAACAGGATCAAGTCTTAGGAAAGGAATTGAGTGACGGCAGGGTGCTTTGGAGCAATCTCATGTTCCCTGGTGTTCCTGACCTCTCCACGGCTTCCTCAAGGAATGCCCCCGCATATTGCGATAGCGCCCATTGAATACATTGGTGACGTGTGATGAACAATCCCTAACTTCTCCTGAACGTTTGCTGGGAAAGTATGTGTGACAATGGGACAGAGCGCGGTATCGCGCCTCGCTCGTAGCTCGACGTTCTCTCGTCGGTCGTTCGATCGTAACGATTGCACAGAATTAGATATGTATTGATCGCCAGACCGTCCGAGACATCCGATCGTACGATCGGACGATCGATACATATCCAATGCTGTACGACCGTGACGATCGGACAAACGACTATAAAAGCGCCCTTTGCGGGAGCAGCGAAACACTGCAATGTGACCATGACTGAAGCACCATTTGGCATGGGAGTACGTCCTACTGAAAAGTCATTTACACCTTCTAGGGAACT